ATAGAAAAACCGAAGTTTGTGTTGTTAATTTGCTTGCTGCCATTTTTGGCGACCAAAGGATCAAGGGTTTTAGAGAAAAAGGTGAATGAAACACAGGTAACAAAGACTGTGTTCAGCCACCTTAATCATGTCCTGTGAGCTTAGCTGCGGACTATAATGTTCTACTCGTGTGCAGTTCTATCCCCCACCTTTGCTAAGATAGCATGCGCTCATCACTAGGTCTTCACTGTACTGACTGAAAGGGTTGTGTAAACAAACTCATGGATAAAAGAATTATATGCCTAGGTTATCGTATCATTGCTCCAAAAAGGAAGGAGAATTCAAACCAAAGACCTCCGCATTACAAATCCAGCGTCCCAACCACTAGGCCACGCCACCTCCACCATAAAGGAATAATTCAACTTTGATATCTTATCATGGAGATATTGCTGCAATCCGGTTTGGCTTTTGCCAGGGAGCGAAAACTGATCATGGCAAACTGGCGACGAGAAATGAAAGGCCGCTGCTCTATTTGCAGGCTGCGATTATCCCTAGAACAGTCAATTGTTCATGTTTCAATTTTTGTTGAACCAAAATAGTAATTTTCGCAAGTCCCTGCGATGAAACACCATAAACTATGAATCGTGAACAGCAAACCGATAGTTAATTACGAAGTGGGCTACGAGGCAGACCCTCAGAATTAGTAACATCTATTATGTCGATTTTGATTTACATTACAAATGCACCTACCAGCATCCTGAGACACCAAAACAGCCGCCAGAGACACTGCACCAATTAAAATGGATGCGAGGAGGTCCAGGCGTACACCAAGCCATCGCCCACTGGCCTTCACCATAATATACGACTGATTATGAAAATCTTGATATCTAACGAGGAAAAAATCGCAGTAAGTAAATGAACTTATTATATGACTGAAAAAATTACTTTACTGATGACTGGCTGACGGCAGGCAGATTGATCGTTTATTTTCAATTTGCGCTGCAGTGCAAATTAACGCGCGCCATTCGTAATTTTCTCAGTCATATAATAAATGAGTAGTCGTATGAAGACTTCAGGATTTACAGCACTCGTGATATTTGAGAGTTTTCAAAGATCACTCGTCGTGTAAATCGTTGACTTCACTCGCATTCATCAGAACACCTATACTAATAAATTAAATTAGTCCAAATTGCAAAAATCAAATCATGACAGTTAATCAAATCAGCTGAAGAGCAGGAAATCTATGGGAGCGAATCACGACGGACAATTCCCTTTATGAGACGTGCCTGTAGGGAATCATGGTAGTTGTATTCATCAAAACAAACATCCAGTCCAAGATGATGAATACTTCTCAAACTCATTAATAATTCATCAAGTTAAAACAAAGAACATCACAACCATGAAGGAGGTTTGGATACCCGGTCTTAATTAGCATAGATTTTGACGATTTTACTTCTCCGTTTCCTCCTTAGTTTTTGTTTCGATTGAGAAGATATATCTAATACTCGAGACAGTATTTCATTGGCTATCCAAACACCTCGAATTTCGTCAAAAATACTTCGCTGCGCGTCGTATTTTCAACTCTCTTCTCGGTGTTTGGATATCTCGATGAAACACTGTCTCTCTTGTTTGATATATTACACCTACAATGATTCCCCGCAGGCACCCCTCATAGTGGGAAATGTCCATTGGTCTTGATTTACTCTGTGAAGAATAATAAAGTGGCGCCTGATTTTTAAGCCACTCACTTAACGTAGTAATAAAAAGTCAAAGCAGATGCGCTTTACGCTTTACGCTCCAAACTGTAGTGAATGCCGCTCTAGAGGTTTTAAAATCACCTGTAAAACTGATCCACGAATTCCCTTTGTCTGCCTCTTGTTCGAATCGTGTCCAGTCCATTCAGGGTCTCGGAAAAGTGAGAGAAGACTGGACTGCGGCATATTGACTCTAACCTTTTGAGCTCTCTGGACGTTTTCAAGTAATACTTGGAGATGTACAAGACTAACACAATCAACGGAACAATAAGAAAAAGAAGCCAAGGATTTGTAACAGTTGGTACAATTATTGATGCTAACACCAACAAGACTCGCTGGATAGATACTAGAAACGTCTTGGGCAGCAACTCGTCAAGGCAGCCTACATCTTTAGAAAATCGATTGAGTATTCTTCCCACGGGATTTGAATCAAAGAAATGAACCGGTGCTTGTAAAATAGCTACAACCATTTTGTCATGTAGGCGTTCAGAACATCTTAAGGAAACAAAAAGGAATCCATAAGCTCGAATGACGGCAAAGATAAGGGACCCACTGACGAGACAAGCATAGATAGTTAGGTTTGTGCTGCCTTTCTGATCTTCTGGAAGTTTCTTTGTTAATGATGACAGCCAGACGTCAGGAGCAACCATCATTGCTGAGAAAAGAAAGAGACGAAATAAAAATACCTTGTCCAAAAAATTCAATATGATGACAAAAAAACTTGACATGAAGCAAATCACATTAAAATAGTCATTGGTCAGCTGATGAAGAAACTGTTAACCAGGTTGCCTACGATTGTTACCCATGAACGACTAGTTACAATATTGACTCCTACCTTGCGCTATGAAGCACAAACAAATTACTGCATAGATTATTGACCAATGTACTCCGCTTCTAAAGTAGTTCCAGTAAAGCTTTGATGAAACCGCTCCGATGGAACGATCTTCTTGAGACAATTCCAGACCCCTAGCTTCATCGGGTAGTGGGACCATTGTTTCAAAGCCGTTTTCCTGTTCAATCTCCCGAGCAAAGCTCTTATTTAGCTCCCCATCGTTCCCAGCTGTCTGATAGAGCGGGTCAACAGTTGTGTTCAGAATTCCTTTTTCTTGTAGTTCAGTGAAACTTCCCTTTTCCAACACACGGCCTTTGTACAACACAATCACTTGATCAGCTTCCTTCATGTGCTGTTCATGATGTGATGTTAACACTCGCGTTTTTTCACCCAGTAGATCGATGATACATGTTTTAAAGATATGTTGGCTAACTTTAAAGTCCACAGCACTCAGAGGATCGTCTAACAAGTAAAGGTCTGCATCAGCGTAAACTGCGCGCGCTAAACCAACTCTCGCCTGCTGACCTCCGCTCAGAACCTCACCACGTTCTCCAACAACTGTTTGGTCATAGTCAGGAAACCGCTGGATGTCTTCTGTGAGAGCGCATGCCTCAATAACTCTGGAGTACTTTGTTTCATCGTATGGTTGACCAAACAAAATGTTTTCTCTTATGGTTCCAGAGAAGATCCAAGCTGTCTGAGGAACATAAACAGGAGTCCCTGGGAAGGTTATTGTCCCGCTAACGTCAGAGATCTCTCCAGCGATGGCTGAGAGAAGAGTAGATTTTCCACTGCCTACTGGTCCAGTGATGACTGTTAGACTCTGTGGTGCTGTGGAAAATTCAATATCCTGTAAAACATATTCATCCTGTCGCTCGATTTGTCTATACGTCAGATTCGACACGCGTAAAGTGCTGGGCTTGTCCTGCTTATTTTTTTCTAGGTCAGGATTGAATACTACTATCTCCATTTTCGCCTGGCGATCTGACAGACCACTCGTAACTTTGGTTGAGCTGCTCTCTGTGTTACTGGTGTCTTCTCTAAACTGACCACGTGAGATGGAGGGAAGGTTTTCTAAAAGAAGAAAATCTTCTATTCTTCTTAGTGATGCATAGGCTTCGTATGTTTGTAGCAAAGCAGTGGAAAAGTAACGGCATGTTGCTAGCCCTGCGATGTCCATAAAACCAACCAGCATAAAGGCATTAACAGGTGTGATGGGTTGACCAGTAAGCACAAGAGTAATGACAGACAACAGGGTCGCCATTGATACTGAACTGTCCCTCAAGGCAAGAAAACTTGACAGAATGGCACTTTTTTTACGGATGATGTTAATTTCACTTCTGAAAAGAAAACAAAAAGAGAACCTCTTAGGATTTCGCAACCAGCCAACTGAATCAGAAGCCGTGTCTATTGTCCTGGTCATGACCAGATGGCTACGGCGGTGTCATGGTCACTTGGCTAAATTTGGGCACAGTAATACCTAATCGTTCCTTTTTTTTGTATTCTTCGGTTGCGTATCAGGTTCGTTTGGTCTTGCCATGTGTATTTGGCTTGGCCAATTCTCGCCATGGTCCGACCAACCACCAAAGGGCACCATCAAGGTATGACTAGGTATGAATATATGATACTAAAAATGGCAAGTGGTATTAAGTAGCACAAGAGCGCGTCTCTGTCTAATTTTCGTTCTATTGTCGGTCTCTTTCAACCGAGATTTAAATGCGCGAATGGTCAGCAAGAGGTTCGTATAAATAAGGGTGTACTGTACAACTGTTTTAGTGGACATAACGAAGAATGCCAGTCAGAAATCGTCAATTTTTAATAGGATTATTGAGCCAAAAGACCAATAACACTACCGTGAACTTCTGAGGGTAACGATCCTCGTTACTTTCGGAATTAGCAGCCTTTGGGGCTCGTTACGTTACTATCGGGGAGCAAAACACGTCGTATAAAGTTGGTAGGAATGAGCTCTATTTGATATTAATTTGGATCAAAGTTTGCTACAGTACGTTCCGGTTACTTGATGAAAATTCAGTGGGTGGGTGTTGTTTTAACACGGTGCGACACCGAATTGATGAAGCACAACTTGACATTTCACAACGCTTCATGGCATAAGTGATCCTTTCCTTGTTGTAGACTGCCTTAAATCAAGTTACCGCACGTAACTTTCAACTGACTAATTATAGGAAAAATAAATATACTATTGAACTTAAGTTTCACTATTTTCGGGGAGGGGGTGGGGATGGGCTCGCTACTTTCGGATAGCTAGCTATTTTCGGGGAATCGCTACTTTCGGGATTTATCGGCGGCCATAGCTTATTGGCGTTATTTTCGGAGGCTCGCTACTTTCGGAAGTTTAAGGTAATCCTTTTAAAGACAACTGGCGTGATCATGTTCTTTAAGCAGAAAGTGACCGATGAGGTAAATGATCAAACTCGGGAGTTGGAAATAAAAGGCAAGGAGTTTTGACTGAAATATATCTTACAACTGCAGTGAATCAAATTGCTTGCACATAAGTTCACTAAGAGGAGGATCTGGATGGGCCAAAGGTGGTGTAACTCACTTATCAGTTAAATTTTCGATAATTTATTAGCTAATAGTTAAAACCTCAACCCATTTATTTCTCTATCAATAAATTTTGTAGATCTTAAATCTCAGCCCTTAGTTAAAACACGTGTCATATTTCAAATGACAGTTAACTTTTGCTCAGGTCTCAGCTATTAGTTAAACCACATTCAAACCCTCTGAGTCAACATCAAGCACCACATTTGTTTTCCCCCTACCTTCGTATGTGTTTAATTTTTTTTCGGTATTCGTCCTCCCACCCACGCGTTTTGATGGCACGAATTCCAGACACCACCTGGTTCATCAAGGAGATGCGTCGATCGGACACCGCTGCTGTGCGCACGCGTTGTACAGCGTTAAGATAGGAGAACCCAAGGAAATATGGCACAAGGAAACACAGGAAAAAGACTCCCATGAGAGATTGCCAGCCAATCAAATACACGAGTAACACTGCTAACACCACCAAGACAAAGCACGAAAAAATCGCAAAAGACAACCACATGACTGTGTCTTCCTCCATTCGCTGAACATCATTTGATATAAGGTCGATCACGTGGCCTGTTGTAAACTTTAACAATGCATTCTTGCTGAGAAAGAGCGTCTGCGGAACAAAAAATGCTAAATGTTAGGGGGTTTTCACGAAACCAGGAATCAAGTAACACAATCGTTGTCGTATGTTAATACTACTTTATCTTACGCTTCATTAACTTTGCGAACAACAGATGTAAAGCAATTTTCGTTTATTTTCGATGAAACGGTCAGTTGTAAAAACCGGATTGAATTCTATAAGTTACATCGTAGAACTGGGCATACCCTTCAGAGCCTACTATTGAGAGTATTAATTATTTTACTGTCAAACCTCATTGACCTCATTAGATAATATTGAATGTCAAGAAACCAGAGGGTATTAACTAACAAAATTCCATCAGTTGCAAATCTACTCTGTGGCTATTCATACCTGCGATTAGGAGTTCTTTTTCGAGCTTCACCTCGAACGCAGAGAACACACGATCGTAGGCTAAGCTATGCTATACTATT